TTTTTTTTTTCAGAGCAGAAATGGAAGTCCTAGCCAATTTCTGGAGGTAGATGAGGAGCTACAGAAGGAGAGTGATGGCAAGCAGCAACTACCTTAATTGTACAGTCTGTGGTTCTCGAGGTTGTTAAATCCAAGCAGGGATGGGGCCCAAAAAGTTGGGAACTGAGAAAGTAGGTTAAAGGAGTGGGGACAGAGAGAATTGGGGCAAATCAGGAAAAGTAACCTTCAAAACAGAAAAGACAATTAATTAAATGAAAGCTTCAAAACAGAAAAGACAATTAAATGTCTGAAAATTAAATGGAAAATTGAGACTAGACTATATGAGAAAACGTTTAATATATTAATATATATTATATATACATATTATATGATAGAACAAATATGTAAAAATAGATATTTATTGAACACAAACTTTGCTAAACACTAAATATGTGTGTATAGATATGTATGTAATGTGTACATGAAGGCAATATATATGATTTTATCTTTCTAAAAACGTGATGTACTATTATATGCCCTCACTTGTTGTAGTTTGAATGTCTTCCCAAGTTCATGCTGGAGCTTGATCTTCATTCCAACAGTGTTAAGAGGGTGGGAAATCTGACAATGGGATTTGAAAGGTGGGGACTTTAAGAAGTGATTAGATCATGAGGACTACACCCTCGTGAGTGGAGTAATCCATTCATGGATTAATAGGTTAATGGTTTAATGGGTTGTCAGGGAGTAGACTGGTGGCTTTCTAAGGAGAGCAAGTGAGCACACTGAGGCAATTGTTCAGCCCTAGTTAATTTATACCCTGCAACACCATAGGATGCTATAGAAAGTCCCCACCAGGAGTAAGGTCCTCACAAGATGTGCCCTCTTGACCTTGGATTTTGCAGACACCAAAATTTTAAGAAATTCTGTTTCTTTATAAGTTACCCCGCTTCAGGCATTCTGTTATAAGCAATAAAAAACTGACTAATACACTACACTACATAGGAAGAAACAGAGGATAATTAACTTGCCCAAGGTCATACAATTAAATAAATGGTAGAGACAGGGATTAAACTCAGGACCCTAAGACTACAAAGACTGTGCTCCAAGGTTATGCTACACAGTCAAATCAAAACACAGCATAAAGGGCTCAATGACCTAACCAAAGCAATTTTTAGGAAAGGACAAAGTCTGAGGACCTATATCTAATATCAATCTAGATTTAATACAGACTAATAATACATAGTGACAGAAAGCAATGTAGCACTTGCCTGGGTGGAGGGAAGGATGGACTTCAGGAAACAATTGGTGGTGATGAAAATGTTCTTGATTGTTGTAGTAGTCCCAAGGTGATTTCAGTACATCTGTCAATAAATTTTATCGTAAAAAAGATATCTGGAACTAAAAGCTCCTGATCTTTAAGAAACAAAGTGATGTCCTTCATTTATAAGAGAAACACTAAGTTAATTGTTAAAAAGAAAGACACACTAACACACAGGACTGCCGAATTTTAGAACACTGGCTTGAAAGAGAAGATTTTAAACATGCTCAAAAATAGGGGGAAAATTTACTAAACAAATTTCAAGAATCAGAATGCCTTCATATTTCTGAGCAAAAATGATTACTAAAATTATCTAGCTGTATTATTATTCAAATGTCAGAAAGGAATAAGAACATTTTCAGACATATAAAGTCTTGACAAATTTACCTCCCACACACCCTATCAAGAAGCTACTTGAGGGGGTGATCTACCAAAACAAAGGAGTAAATCAAGAGAGGAAGATAGGGCATCCAGCTTGAGAAAGGTAAAGGGAATCCCAGGATGCTGGTGAAGGAAAATCCCAGAATGACAGGTGAGCACTGGACCTAATGAGCAACCAGTCTTGGTAGCAGGTGAAAAGCTTCCAGGATTGCCATCATTGAGAAGATTAAAACATACACACACAACCACCTCACATGTTTAATTGTATTGAAAAGAGGTTTACAAAACTGGGGGAGAGAAGATTAAGGGCTTAATTTGTGACTGAATATACAGAAAACCATAAAACCAACCAAC